TCCTTTAAGGTTGTGATGTCACAACTATACAGTCACCGGTAGAAGCGACGCTAAACTCTGTGTAGTTGGCACACAGATTGAGTCACCGGCTGCAGTGATGCTGTGAAGACAACAAAAGACCGGAAAACGGTGACCAATCAGAGCAGGACTGGGCTTTTTGTCTTAAAGACACAGGCGCTAAAACGGAGCGTTTCAGACGGAGGGTGAACGCGGGTTTATTCAGACAGACAGGATGAGAAAAATAAAGTGTTTTTTATAACATTGAAGCATGTAAACAATTTCTAGTAGAAACCCAAAAATACAAATATGATTCTGAAAATGAGCACGATATGTCTCCTTCAACTCGTTTAGGTTCTCAGGATTCATAAATTAGTCACACAGGTGTCCATGTTATAACCGCTCTGCAGCAGTACAGTGTAGCGGTAATTGAGCTTGATCTCATTTGCAAATGAAACACGTGAATTGTACAGTAATTCATAAGGGCTCGGGCATAAGCGGGGAGTAGAGTGATGTTAAGTGTTTGCCAGGCGCCAAAGCTGCTCTGGCCACATTAGACGGCTGACTAAGTTGGCACGAGGGCACCGTGCCCATGCCAGGCCCCCGCTAACAGTGGGTCGGCCCCCGGGAGGCACAACAATACAGATAATGATAATTCAGTCATCTAAACTGAGGGAGCTTGATTGCACACTTCACTGAGTTTAATGTCCATCGGGCATCATCCCAGAATGGCTTGGTTTAGCATTGAGATAAATGCGTCCACTCCTGACTGCTTTTTCCTTTTCTGTATCGAGGGCTCAAGGAGACAAGGTGAATTCAGATTCATTATTGCTAATGAGGCCCCCATCAATGCTAAGAGACGGGTTATTGTGTGGGTATTTTCTCTGTTTATTACAGGCTTTTATTTCCCATCCTCTCTTTCTCTTATTTTAGCTACAAAATGACAGAGGATGGAGGAGCGTTTCCATTCCGCAGCACATCTCGTGCCCACATTTTTTCTTCTGATGTTCCCTCATGCTGGCCTTGTACATTTTATTCAGTAACCAGCCTACCAGCTTAATAAGTACTAAGTGCTTTAACAGTGTAGAATAAGCCTTTCGTATGCAGCAAGTCTCTGTATCTCAACCTTCACACAATGCAGGTGAAACTCAACGTAAATGCAAAATTGTCAAGAAAGTGTGGGACTTTCACCCTCGTGGCTTGCATCTTGTCGACGTCCAGGCAGAAAGGACCTTTTTGCAGCAACCAGCTGTGTGATAATAGAGCTAGCTGTCTCAATCTAAAAGACGTCTTGATAAAGCTTTTAAAAGCTGAGGCGGCAGTTGGGTGAAGACAAAAAAAAAACAGAAAAACGGTGGCTAATAGGCGCTGTTCCATTTGATCATACAGCCAAGCTAACCTGGGCGAGCACAGCTGACTGAACCCCTTTTCAGCAGGAGGTGGAGGACGAGGCAACGGACGGCATTGTTCAGGCTTTAATGTGCTTGCCTTTTGCAGTGCGGATGATCAAATCCGGTCATACTGTAAGAGGATTCTGAGCAAACGTATGCTTTAAGTGTCAGACTAGAGAACACACGCCGGTGAGGAGTCAGGAAAAAAAAAGATTTGGATTGCAAAATATACCTGTGGAGCTTTCTGCCTTGCAACGTTTGGAACGCACAGTGGTCTGTCAACTGTGTCACATCAGGAATCCATATACAAACCTATTTACCAGGTAGGCCTTGCACTCCTGTCGGCATTATATTGCAAAACTCTTGAAAGCTTATGAATTTGAAATGCTTTGCCTTTGAAAGTGACACACAACAAAGCTTTAAATCAGCAAGGTTGCCTGTTGAGGAGAGATTCCAGAAAATGTGCTTTCAAGGGTTCTTGAAATTGAACGATAAAAAAAGAGAAACAGTAATCCCATCATCATGTAGTAAAGGAGAGAAAGATGTAATGAGACAAAGAAGCAGTATTTCCTAAAAATGAACAAATGAGAAATAGAAAAAAGGGGTTTGTAGCTTCAGCACTCAACAGCTCTGAATGTAGCCGTTTGCCTCACTTAATGAAGCATTCAGCCGCAGCCATCTATTGATCACCTCCTCTCATTTCAACTAAACTCATTAGGAAAAGAAAAGCTGTCGATCCGCATACGTAGCCTTCCAATCGGCTCAAAATGAAATGCATTACCACCGCAGTGCATGAAAGACATTTTACAATGCATCTTCAGGGACAACAGCCATTCACAGGAACGTTTACAAGGCCCAGAGTTATTATTCATGCTAACACTGTATGCGCCTGGTTATATTGCACATGTTAGTCACGTTTCATTTTTGTCTATGCTAAGTGTTTGCAGCGTGATCAATGCCACTAGTCCTTTGGGATAGCAGCTCCGCTAATTAGCAAAGGAAGAACTCAATAGTGAGCTGTGTTTTTCTTTTGTGTGAACTGTGTGAAATCAGAGTCATTCTTTGGCATCAATGGGTGAAACATTTCAGGCTGTATTTACTGGTGCTGCTGATGTAAAACCCACCGCTGACCCGTTTGTCTTCATGCACCACTAGTGTTTGTCTTCTCCAGTGTATTCATCATTCGGTAACACTTATGACGCCCATGTCATTATAAACACACTGTGTTACAATCTGAGTATAGCGCTGAATAATTATAGTTATCAGCACTCATAACTATTCATAATGCTTCATTACAATAACATATTATTAAGCATTTAATAATGACTTACAATACTTACATTGTTTGCTTTAAGCAAAATGGAAAAAATACAATTGAATCTATGCAAAAACAACTTTACTTTAAAGCGAACAATGACCACTTAGAGTAACACATTATAATGCATTATAGTGATTATAGTGCATGATTAAAAAAAGAGATTATGATGTGCTACAACAATGGGACTTATTATACACAGTAAATATTTCAAAAATAGTCTTTTAGTGTGCCATTCATGATCAAAATCAGTTCCAATTCTGATAACGGTGTCTGTCTGTTTTTATTAATACCGTGTTTCCCTCGTTAATAATAAACACACAACACATACTATAAAGGAAGCCATGATCACAGAGGATATCAAGATTAGGACACATGTTGTCGACCACCTTTGTTTAGAATATGAGAAGTACAGTGAGCATTGCATTTGCTCATCCAGTTAAAAAAAGCATGAAATATTCCCTGGTCCAATAGGAGACCTGGAAATATTTGCAATTAAAAAGGGGGAAAAAAGGAGAAATCCAGAGAGAAATACATAAAGTTGTTGTTAACGTTTAATGTGATGGATTATTTTAAAATAAAATGCAGCAAACAGGAACAACTGACTGTTTGCAGAAAACCGGCCATAAGATGGAAAAGAAGCAGATTCAGAAGTTGAGCAGGTTGGATGGGAAACGGTCACACGTGATGGAAAATAAATAATAAAGGAAGACACACACTTCAACTTGTCCCCCAGCATTTCCTTCCACTCATGTCCCCTTTGATTTGACAGGACGATGTCACAACACTTTTTAACACGCTCACACACACACACACACACACACACGTTTTTCCTTTTAAACCAGTTTCAGTACTGCAGATAAGAGGCAGAGCTACCTGTCTTTCAACTAAAGACACTGAGCACTGTATTCCGCCTCCGGCTGTCCAATTCTGGCCCACATTACTGTATCAATAACAAAGTAAAACCTTTAAATGAGAGAGATAAAGCGCTCCTCTGATATCATCATGATTACTATGTGCACATAACATTAAAGAGGGGTGTTAGATGGTTTTAGATCTGGCTTGCTGTGGGGTGAGAAGGGACGAGCTGAGGCATGCTGGGAGACTGTCCTGTGTTCGTGGTGCAGATCAGAGGAGCAAGGGAAACCTGTGTTTTCCCTGATTGATATTGTGATCTAACGAGCAAAAGGATCTGTCAGTTGTAATTGTAGATGTTCAAAGATCCTCTTGGGAGGATGTGTTCAGAAAGGGAAAACAAAGTAGAGGTAAGGCCGCTGTTGTTTTTTGTGCGAATGAAGAGTAAGTGAGCAACAACAGCATCCTGTGTATCGAAAGTAAGGGAATAAACTTCTGTCGCTTTATATTCATAGAAACAAATCAACAATGTGTCACTCCTAAGAGTCATTTTAAAGCTGAAATCTGCATCTTATAACCTTTTTTTTCATCAAAATGTGCGCATTTATACAGATTTTTTAACAGAGGCGACAGACTCCTTGCCAGTGGACGAGTATACCTTTCTGTTTTTTCTCGTGTTATGTTCAATGTCATGAACGAGCCGTAAAACAGAGTTAATAAAGAGTTAAAAGGTTTGTGTGGTTTCCTTTGTCTATATCTGGTGCTATCTTAGTCTCTCTTTCAAACCCTGGTGATTGTTTGAATTGTTGGAAAGACGAACAAAGACGGTTTACATGACTTTAATTTAGTTTCTTATCGAGTAGAATGAAGAGTGTTTTTATAATAAATAAAGCAAGGTAAAATTACTTTTACCGACTGTGCTTTCAGGGGAGCATAATCATTATTATGATGATTCTGAAACTTACATGACTACTGGTTGCTCTCCTCTTCTGCTATTGCACAGTTGGATTTCAGTTCAACCCGTTCATTGTAACATGAATGATTAACATAACCTTTTATTCAGCATCAAACCACCCTTGTAAAACACATTTAGGCTCAAGCTATTGCTATCGAGAGAGAGCCTTGTTTGTCCTGTTTTGATTATATCCATGCTTCCAAATGTAAAGGTTAAATGGGTTCATACCATTCAAGCAAAACAAGTCTGTTTGTACGTAAGTTCATGTTTTAAGATTTTCCCAAGACAATAAATACTTCAGTGACGTTCCTAAGTGGACGATGAGCCATACTTTGCAGCCTCCAGGACTGAACTGTTCTAACTGTGTGATTCTTAAAGTCAGGGAGTGTTTGAAATTGAGTGTGCGTGCCTCACTTTCCTTGGAGTCATTACAGTTAAAACATAGAAATGCACACGCACAGGCATTAGAATGAAGACTTTGGCCTACCGTCTTGTTCCGTCTTGGTCAGCTCCACCAGTTTCTTCTGTTTCAGTGTGTCCACCACGTCTGCCAGGCTTCCTTTGCGGCGCTCCGGCGTCCCGAAGGCGAGGCCGATCATTGGCTCCCCGCGATCCCTGGAGCACTCCTCTGGCTTGGGTGGAGAGGTAGAGTTAGTCCGGTAGGAGTAGACTGAGCAGCCTTTACTGCTCTCATTGTCCTGGGAGGAGACAAATAAGAGAACCGAGGTCAGAGCTCGTGCAATATATCCGCACTGATGCAGGTTAGATGCACTCAGAGAACTTGTCCCCTTTCAGTATATGCTTACATTCCCTTGGCATGGGCTGGCTGGCCTGACATGGGAACAGGTCAGAGAGCATCCTGGGTACATCAGGAGCTCTGTGGTGTCACCCTATTTCATTCCTTTTAAATAAGTGTACTCTATCACTCTGCTATTTAACATACATGTCAGTGTTTCTTGCAATTCCAGGTTGGGGAATGAACATCATGCTGAATTAAAGAAGACATGAAACTGGCGATTGAGACCATAAACCCATGTTTATAATATTTACTGAGGTAATAAATCAAGTGACAAGTAGAGTCATAGACTTTTATTAGCAAACAGAGGAGTCGCCCCCTGATGGCCATTAGAGAGAATGCAGATTTAAGACACTTTAGTATTGGATTCACTTTTCAGAATTTGAGGCTGTCACCTGAGATCAACACAAGCCATCTTAGATTAGTTAAAATTAAAACACAGATTTGTAGAATAATTTAAATGTACCGTGAGTTTTGTTTTTTAATAATTATGAAATCACAGTGTCCCAAAGTTTCTAACGAGCACAAAGTCCCTCAAAAACCCCACATGTTGGTACAGTTATCACCAGATTACTAAATTACAAACTATATTGCTTTTCTATTCGGTGTTGCGGGAGTGTTTCTGTCCCACTGCTGTTTGCTCTGCTGGGTTATGAGTTAAGTGAGAGGCACAAGGCGTCTATATTTACCGAGACGATAAGCCTTTCAAGACGACCACATTGTCCCACACAACAGACACTTTAGCACAGGTGTTCTAACGCCGCGGCTATTTCTGGACGCTTTCTCCTCCCCTTACAGAGTGGGGGGATCTCCAAGAACTTTAGCAGGCTTATGTTTCAAAGACAAGGGGCTTTAACTAACAGCGGGATCTTAAGACGCCCTTGAAATGGCTCCTGGAGGCCCTCCTGTGCACTTTGTCTTTAAGCGGAAGATGCCTCTGTAATGAGGATTAGGATATAGTGTGTCACTCGGATTGTTCAGGTGTGTTTTTTCAGGTCCACACATAATGCCGCCGAGCAGTGTGGTGAAGTCGGGAAGGCCTGATGATCAGATCATGTTAAAAACCAAAAGGTCACGCATTCAGCCTTTGCAGCAGACAATGCATATCCATGACAACCCCCGTGATGTAGGTTTGTCCTTGAGCAAGGCATTGGCCTCTAGATAGAAAGGCATCATTCTCAAATGTGAAACTGAAATATTTGAAGAATCAAAAGCGTGGGTCAACTCGTGCACTATCTGGTCCTAAAGAGCTTAGTTACACACAGAGGAAGAGTTCTTCACATTGGAGACTTTTTCTGAAATGCAGGAAACATTAAAGAAAAATCTGTAAAAATCAGATTTTTTTAAAACTGGCCTTCACTTTTCGACCAATGGACTCTAAACGAGTTCCACAAATATATTTCCCCTCACTGCTGGAGGCCGGTGGTGGGAGGAAGAGAAACAGGCCGGTGTTTTTTGTCCTCAGCTTGTCCCTCTTCCACATTATTGACATTCATTCAATGCTATTTTGTGTGATTTAACCTGTTGAAACGTTTTCTACTCTTTTAACCAGTGGCCAATGTAAAAGAAGCAGCAACTCCCTCACTAACCTTCTGCCGTTTTTGTTCAGAAAGGTAGATCTTTTACACACCGTTGTCCTTGTTTTCTTTATTGAATTCATAGTTCCAAGGTCAGTTGACAAACACAAAGAATTGTGCTTAGGTTTAGAATTAAGTTTATTTCTTTAAAATAATAAAAAATGCGCTGACCTGACCACAGTTTGAGTCTTTTGCGGAGGCTTTCTTGTGCCAGTTCATTTTCTCATTTTCTTTCTTTTTTATCTAATTCAGGACAAACTAAAAACTTTAGTTTTTTAAATCACTAATTCATTATTTGGTCTTATCAGACTCCTGCGGTTACACATGAGGAGATTCAGAAGTGTGTGAGAACTTCACAAGCTTTTAGTATTCAGGAACATTTTTTGCCTCAAGGCCACTTTGAACTGAAAGTCAAGTTGTCTATAATATCTAATTGCCTTTAAAGTTCCCACTATGCACTGAGAATGTTTAATGTAGTTATAATCTCAAGATAGCAACAGAAAACACAAGTATGTTTTAATAAAATCAGAAGTGTGAACGGGACTTTTGTTTTGGGAAATGTAAAATGTATTATGCCACAACATTGATACGGAAAGAAACTTTATTCTCAGAACTTTCCACTTTCCTCAGAGGCTGAAGTCAAACACGCCTCTTCCATTAGGGACCAACAGAACCTGAAGCCAAGTAACTAACCCTTTAACACACACATGCACACTCTCCAACACACACACATACACACTCTCACACACAGACTGACAGGAGGTGGAGATGAGAAGAACCAAGGGCTATAACTCTCTAGAGGAGAAGCCTCACTGGGCTGCCTACAGCACTGCCTGCAGCACACAGACCAGAGAGGACCACTGGTGTGTGTGTGTGTGTGTGTGTGTGTGTGTGTGTGTGTGTGTGTGTGAGGGTGTATGGATTCAATTGTGCACAATCATCATTATGCATGAGAATTTGCACACCCTGTGTACCCCTGCATGTATTTCACGAGTGTTTTATGAGCCGTGTGCCCTGAGTGTGTACACAATGTACACACACTCACCTCATTTGTTTTATAGATTTGAGTTACGGCAACATCTCTCAAGATAAGATATGGTCAATTTCTCAGCCCTGTGCGTAATTCACATCTCACCATCGCAGCAGGCACCATGTTCTCCCACTCCGCGTCCGTCAGCTTCTCCCTGATTGGCTGCAGCTCATCCGGGTGGGGTCGGTCATGCGAAGAGGGAGACGGTGTCTCCTTCGGGCCCTCTCGCTCCTCGCTGGTCCAGGCCGCATTGTCCTGACCCATCGCTTCCTCATCCTCAGACGGTGGGTGAAAGGGAGGCGTTGCTCGCATGGAAGACATCATTCTGTGGAGGACAAGACAAAGCGGTTTTCATTTTGATGGCAAAGTTTAGACCGGCGCATTGCCGAACGTTATTTCAGGCTAGGTGGAGAGGAGAGGAGGGAGGGAAGAGAGCAGGAAAGGAAAGGAAAAGAGAGGAGGGGAGGGGGGAGAGGAGAGGAGAAGAGGACAGCAGGACAGTAATAAGGAGAGGAGAGGAAAGTAAAGTAGTGAAGAGGAGAAGAGACATGAGGGGAGGTTAAAGAGAGGAGAGGAGAAGAGAGGAGGACCCATGATGGAGGAAAGTTCAAGTGACCAGTTGAAGGTCTAAACTTGTGCCGCTGATCTCACAAAAGAAAAAGGAAAAGTGTTGGAGATTTCAGAACATCCATTTTAATTCAGAACAACAACTTCGTTTAAAATGCAGACACATGAATGCTGAAGATGTAATTACAGCTCACTCACACAAGCGACTGAAAGTACACATCATATTCTTGGCTTTTATCGCAATCTGAGAGACTTACAATGACTACAAGACATTCGTGCTGAATGTTCCACACTCATACACACATACACATACACACACACACACACACACACACACACACATATACACATTAAGCACATACTGCCACGGGGATAATCTATTAATCTATTAAGCAGCATCAAGGCCACTCATCACCTCAGAGCTGTTAAAAAAAGCAGACGCTGTGCTGCGTTTCAGTGGAAAAATCTCTCTTTTTTTTCTAATGTAAGCCTCAAGCTGGGAGAGTCATTAGGCTAATACATCCTTTACTGTAATGACTTCCCTTTGTTGCCCTATACTTATGAGGACTTTCATTGACCACATTTATTCCCTCAACCCTCCTGTAGCCTAATCTCAGCCCTAAATTCTTATTCTAAATTGAAACACAAGCCCCCTTTAAAGGGTTTTACACATCTTTTTTGTCCTGATGCGGCTAATTGGTGCGTTTAAGTAATACACACACACCCACACCAAATTACTATGCGATAACTGACAATGCAAATTCCAGCGGAAAGGGCGTCAGACTGTTCGGAATTGTTTTTGCTCCAGAAAAAAAGACATGTCACACACACGCACACACACACACACACAAGCCTTCGCATACACACAACTTCTGCGAAGTGAAACAGATTGCCACTTCAGTGTTAGCGGTCAGTAAATCACAGCGGGCCGTCCACTCCAAACACGTGCATCTGGGTCTAAAGTGTGTTATGTGAAAGAGCTCGTTTCCATGTAGCGGGATTCCGAGGGGTCATGACGTTCTTTGCATGTTATCTTTTACTACTTGCGTCAGTGACTCTGTTATGCAGGTTACACCATAGTGTCGTCGCACGAAAACTGAGACTCACTCAACTCTGACCTGAAGATGTTGGAGAAGCATTAATAGTACACCATCGTAACTTACTGGATCACGTTCTACTGTCTTTTGGAAGCCAGCTGCAATTCTTGTCTATCTTACCCTAAAGAGTCTTTTCTCTCATTCATGCTCAATAAAAAAGAAAATCTCTAATTTCTAATATCATCTTTTCAGGGTCTCTGGCTTACTACAATTCTGACCTTTGCATGCTACACTGTTCCCAAAGATGACAATAAGGGAAGGAAGATTATTTTACCATTACCTCACTGTAAATCGGTCCAGATGAGAGCACAAGCTAAATACTTGAAGCTGCTATAGTCAATACTTTTATATTAACAATGGATCATATGACTACTTGAGCGTGAAAGGGTAAGCTGGTGAGGACAAACCCACAGATAATTATCACTCAACTGCAGTTTCGCTCAGCTCGAAGGAATGTTTTAGCATCTTCAAGCAAATTTCACTTTTGGTTCATTCTTATCAGTGTCATTTTTTCCAGCCCAGTCTCACCAAACGGCCTATTATTGACACAGCAATTTGGAAGTCGTTTAGCGTGCAACAAGAACGCCTTTCTCGCTTTAGCGTGTCATTTTACGCCATGTAGTCTGCAAGGACTGCAATGTAAACGCGTACGCTGGAATATTATTAGTATACAGTAAACTAAACCAAACCAAACCTAACCCAAATACAGTTTAGTTAACTGTGCTCTCGGTGGGAACTGAAAGGAAAACATTGTTATATAGTGAAAGTATAAAAAGTGAGAAAGACTTATTTTGTTGGGTGCAATAGTAATAGACAGGGGGTCAAGCAATCATAGGACTTTCAACCCGGGAGACCGCTGTTTGTGTCCCAGAGTGTCATTTTGAAGTTGCTTTAGTGATGTTTGTTCTGTACTTATGTGACCTTACTTATATTTGACTTAGTTAACCTACATATTTTAAGACCAACCATGATGTTTCTCCTAAACTCAACTAAGTAGTTTTATTGCCTGAACTTAAATGCGTTCATTTCACGGTAACAACTTAAAATGGTTTAATGCGTAAATATTGTGCTATTTATACGCCTTCCCGTGAGATCAGGTTGCAGCAGGCAGCTGTTTTCAGCTAAGAAGCTCTGAAACCACACTGTGCGCTACCTGCAGCGCCGAACGGCAGTCAGATGAAGTTAGGTACGTGATGGAGAAGAGACTGCAACATTCAGCCGCTCAAGAGTCCGTCAGAGTTTCAGCAATTTACTACCAAGACTGCAACAGCTAGAAGACTTCTGCCAGTCTTGGGAATGATAACAATTATTTTTCCCACTTCACTAGGTGAAGTCTGAGATTCATTCATTTGCCACCAGTGCCAAGCTCCACCTAATGCCTGATTTGACAAATTGGACGAGTGACCGCTGTCAGCCTGATGTTTACATATCTCAGAACCTCCGTTGTTTTTACACGGCGGTTTGAGTACATGAGATCATAAGACCCCAGACAACCAGCAAACAGCAAATGACTAATCCAGAATCAACTGCTGCAATCCACACTGGAGCGATGAGGGAGCTGATGGGGAGCCGGGAAGGGAGAAGGCAGAGGAGTGCCTATATTTAGCTGACAATATTGCTGGTGCTGTGTTTATGGCGGAGCTTAAGACTTAGTTTCTTGGAACTGGTGTCTCATATGGCCAGGAATGCCCAGCCCCATAACTCGCTGCCACTGATATGGTATCATCATGCAACAGTACGGGGGTTTGTTGGTAAGCATGCCGCAAGGCCTTTATGTGATTGGTCGGGGCAGGAAAACAGTATACATGCGCTCGTCATCCGGCAGAGAATCACATTACCAGTGTTTAGATGACTCTGTTGTTTAACTAACACGGCAAATGTTAAGCTCTACCAATTCATTACTGTGGAATGAGTTTAGGAGCTCCAGTAGTTATTTTGACTTCGAGATTTCGGGTGAATGGTGAGGAGTTGTTTATTTGTATTTTCTGCTGAAAGTGTTCACCTTTTCTTTTCTTTTTTCTCAGTTTAACTTAATTACAGCTGATTCTAAAATCAATTCTCTTCACAGTTCACATATCTGTTGATGACTTCAAAAGTAAAATTATGGGCATATAGTTTTTAAAGGTAATGCAAATAAACACAGAAAGACGTTCTCATGCTAATAATTTGTGAACATACATAATGTTCAAATCATACAATGGTTCATATGACATCCAAGGAAACATGTACTCCTCATTTTTCGTGTGTTTTCCTTCAAAAGTCCAGCTAGATCTGTCAATTTCTGCTCGTTGTGCATACATTCTTTTCAAAGTAAACTTCTGTCTTCACAGGAAACAACTAAGTTAAGATTAGGCAACAAAACTGCCTGGTGAGGTTTAGGGAAAGATTGTGGTTTGGTTTAAAATAACTTCGGAAGTGACGTTACTTAAGTACGGAAGTTACGTGACAAGTTAATTAACGTTAACTTCTCGTTTCACACGGGGAACAAATAGCGGTCTCCTGGCTGAAAGACCAGTGTTTGGTGGACACATCCCGCCCGGTCTGTGTGGGTCTTTGCGGCCTTTATACTTCCTGGTTCATGATAACTTGGATAACATACAAATCGATTTGGTGGGATACCAACAAATTACAGTGTATTCATTTTTGTAGTTATAACTACGAACGCTGTATGAGAACAGACTGGAAAAACTACTTAAACAGCTACATTCAACACAGTGCCAGAATATAGTACCATACATCAGGTATAATCATAATGCTGTGTGCTGTGCAATACCAAACAATATATCAACATAATAAGAAGAAGAGGAACTCCTATCAGGCCCATTTATATGTTGCCATCAGGCTGCAGCTGCTTCTGTCATGTCATTGAGCTACTGTGCTGTATTTTTGGGATGTCGGTCATCACTACTTTTTGTCTTTCCTATTCAGTTTGATCGTTTGAACAGCCTTTTATAGGATAAGACTGCACTTAAAAACAAAAGATACATGTGCATTATCAGAAACTAAGCGTTTATTTGTCTTAATATCTAAAACAATGTATTTTGGAGGTGTGGGTTTTCCCTCTGACCACAGCTCTTATGCATGTCAATATCAGGTTCCTCCCTACTGAGGAAGAAATTGAATGATTAGAGCTGAAGGAGCAACCTTTTCCCAACAAGACCAACAACAGAATAAGTTTGGCAACGCGGAAACACTCTCAGGAAACAGTAATATGACAATAATGTTACAATAGCTGAAAAAGGAAATTCATTTTTCACACACGCATCGCCTTGAGCCTCTTTCCGAAAAGCCCTTCCATATTGTCAGCCATCTAGAAAAACATCAACTTATTCCCCTGAAAGCAGTTGTCCTATCTGAAATATGTCTTGGAAAGTGATACTGGTGAGATTGCCTGCTTGAAAGCTAAACAGAGCACCCACTGTTGAGTGAACAGCTTTCATTTTTCGTCCTCATTCATTGTTTGACGTTTTTTTATGAGCGTGAAGTCAGGTTGGGAAGATCTTTCCATGAGCAGGGTTAACATCTCAGTTGATAAGACACCTAATGTAATTAAAATCACAATGAAGTTATGCTCAGCAATGTTACTTACTGTTCTCTTTGAGCATTTTGGTTCAAGTTCCCTTCCCTCCTTTGTTGCCTTTGGACATTCTTAAAGCCTTCA